CAGCTATGAAATTAGCAACTTGGAATTTTATGTCTTATACTTTTCAGTTTTCATTCGATTTGTATTTGTGTCTTAAATTGTATTACGATATATATTTATACACAGCCTAACAAGAATGAAGACACATTCATGTTTTTATAATTTTTTTTTAAATTTCTCAAGAAATAATTAGAGGATTAGTTTGTAAATTTAGTGGTAATTAGTTTATGTGATTTTTTAAACTGAGCAATAAAGTTTCAAGCCTTCAGGGACCAACAATTAATTACAAAACAAAACCAGTATTTTATTACACCTTATACCTGAGAATCAAGCAATAAGTTTTACAACTTATGCTTATACTTGCAAATCAGACTTTTTCATTAGTTGCCAAATATGATTCACTACAAAGATATAAGCTTTTTTAAGTTTTACGAGCATACTCTGTATAGAAGAACTTCCATAAATAATAATATCTTGCGGAATTTTTAACAGTGTGAAAAATCGTATGAACTAATTACCTCTAAATATACAAAAATAATTCTCTTAGTATTTATTGAGAAAGTTAAATAATTGTCAGAAATTATAAGTGTCTCATCCATTATTTCAAGGAGGTATATATATACTTATATATATCGCTCATGGGCTGCAATAGCGGAAAAAATCAAGTCAAAATCAACTCAAAAAATCAAGTTTTGAAATAAATGGGTTGATAATTTTCATTGCTAAGCAAAATGCGTAAGAAATGCTTTAGTTTGATTAAACGAAGATTACCTACAAGTTGAATTATGAGTTGTGCTAGTATTGCTGAGAGAATGTGTATTTTAATATTTATACCTGTTCTTAGTCCAAAACGCGTGTTTTTGAAGTTATACTTCTTATGCGACTTCCAACAAGGTTGCGTTAAACGTTTAACGCTACATTTTTATTGGCCGTGAAATCACGTGGTAGGATCCAGTTTTCCCTCATTCATTTCCATATTGTTTTGGTTCTCACTAGCATTAAAATAATAAAAGTCTTGTTTTTCTATAAATATTTTTTTAGTTTGTTTTGATACACATATAATTTAATAGGGTAGTATTTTTTATTTTCAAATTTAGTGGATAACAATTGTAAAAAATGAGTGAAAACAATCCCACGGACAATGCGACGGATTTAAGGTTATGTCAAGGTACGTCTCTTGTGAACATCAATTGATTGCTAGGTTTTCTCTTCTGAAATTACATTATGACGCATTCACGTACATTATTAATACAAATACATTTTCCAGAGCGAGACGACGAGGCAACCACAAGCACTTCCACTGGGGCTTAATATTACCGTGATAACAGAGCACGGAAGCGAGCGGAGCAGGAAAAAGAGTCGTTGAATAGAACTAGTAATCCTTCTACGACTGCTGATTCTCTGCTATTAACGTCGCAGGTTGAGAAGTTTAACTTCTTCCGCGCGGCGGGACTCCACGCATTATTTTTTTGAGTTGTGCCACTATTGCAGCCCATGAGCGATAGATCATAATTGAATGTTGCATAATATTATTACAATTAAAAATTGGTATTATGCATAAATTAAGCTAAATAACTACTAACCTTGGCGAACAAAGAACACGGCCAAGCTACTAACAATCATAAACTATTAACAGTAAATTTTAAGTAAAATGATGACCAAACTTTTAAAAAAAAGTGTGAAAAACTTTTGAAAGATTGTTATTGTTTACATTTCTACTTAAAACACCATTCATTCTAAAAGTGAGCTGGTTTAGGGCATTCGTCTTCAAATGAGCTGAACAGGGTTCAAATCCCAGTGATTGGTAGACGGACCAGAGGTAAGAATCCCCTTGCCATAAGACTGACTGTTGGTTTTCATGATTTCCTTCTGCATGTAACATAAACGTAGGTTAGTTTCACTAAAAAAAGTTCTCCACGATGGCAAATGTCTCACATCCATGAGTTTCCTGACTTGGATTTCGATTGGGTTCAAAATTACATATTATATATGTTTATAACGGTCGTTGAACGGTCTCAGCTATTTTATTGGATTAATATTTACGGTTGAATTTTAAATTGAAATTTAAGCTAGCGTTGATTTTCTATGCGATATGAAAAAAGAATAATTAAATACAATAAGATTCAGTAGCATAAAAGATAATATAATATCTGATACCTTTTCGCAAAAATCACACACTCTCGCTCACGGTGTGTGAACGGGTGTGTGAACGAGTGTGTGAACACTTGCTCACACACTCTCGCTCACACACCCGTTCACACACTTGTTTACACACTCGTTCACACATCCGTTCACACGCGCTCACACACCCGTTCACACACCTGCTCACACACGCGCTCACACAATGACTCACACACACACCAAGCTTAAGTCATTTTGGTATTTTCCATATTAATATTATAACAGTAATTGATCATAAGGAAATAGACAACATATTAATATAATTCATTTCATGAAAAAATGAGGAAATATTTTAATTTAAACAACTTTCAAATTTATTTTCATATTTGGGGAAAATGGTCGACACGATAATACATGAGTACCGAAATAACTTTTTTTTAATTCAATTTTCAGGTACCCGATGCGAAGCCTACGATTTCCTACAAATATAAATTTTAAAGTTAATTTTTCAACTATTATGTTATAATACAAAACGTAATTTCATGACTTGAATCTTAATATATTTTTGTGTTGCGGGGAAAATTTAAAGCGAAGGTGTGACTTAAATAATGTTTTGTAATGAATGCTCACACATCCGCCCACACACCGGCTCACACATCCATTCACACACTTGCTACTTTTACCGGTTATGGGTTTGTAACAGTTATTTATGACTGTTAAGGTCAAAATTTTCAACCTGCACTATTTTTGAAAAATATAGAAAAATGGGTCGAAACATTAATATGAAGAAAAGCCACAGTTTTGCGAAATCGGATTCATTTTTTAAAATTTAAAAAATTTCTCCTACGTTGCATTATTTGGATTCATAAAAAAAATTTCAAAAATCAAGAATTAATTATTGATTTTACTCTAGGTTGAAATATCTCATCAAATTTGCGATTTTTATAAAGAGTTCAATAACTTTTAAAATATTAAACTTTTCTTAACCTCACTTTCAATTCAATTTTCAAATTTTTAAAGCATAACTTTAGTTTTGTTTTTGAAAGTGCTTTTTGATTTTGTGATTCAGGCGAAGAGATATTTTTCAGCCTATAAAAGATATTTTTTCATGTGCATTATGATCAGTTGATTGAAAGTAATATATTTTCATTCTCGATGTAAACAATATATATTTATATATTTTAATTTTATGTTTTGTCAAGCCTTGACAGGCAATGAAAACTCAGCTATTTGATTTTTAAAAAAAATTCAGTAAAGAGATGAGCTTATTTTAATAATTTTTGTGTAACAATGGTATTATTTTCTCCCGAAAAATTCAGAAATCAACATCCAGAAAAAAGTATTTCAATTTGTATTTTTATTTGTTATTGCCAACAGCTAAAAAAGGTGTGACTTAATTTTATTCTTTAGCTTCCTCACACTTCAAGCACTCAATATATTTTAAGGTAAGGTAAATTAAGGTAATTTTGAAGGTATTAAATTATAAAATTATGCATAATAAAAACATTTACATTTCTTAAAAAATTAGGTTTTAAATTTAGTTTGGCACACAAATCAATAAAACAATGTTTAAACTCTTAAAAATTTCAACAACACTATAAATTGTTGGATTTATAAGGACATATAAATTTACTGTGTCAACGGTAATTTTTTTGTGTGTTTTGAAGTAGAAAGGGGATGAATTTCATCAAGATTCAAATGAACTTGTATAAAAAAACAGGTGAACAGGCATTCACTGTTACATGTAACCGATGCTCGAATTCAATAGCAGCTGTCGACAGAACAAAAACAGACATAACATGAAATTGGTATATTGTAAGTATCCAAAAATAACGTAAATATTAATTTATAGCTAATAAAAGGAAGAAAAGGTTTCGCTAATTTTAGCAAAAAGAAGTTTTACTTCAATAACAATTTGGTAACTAACGGAAAAATTGGTTACAATGCAATTTTTTATAATATTACACAGGTAATGGCACCCTTTAAAATAATAGTTCATTTGTGAAAAATGTATTAAAATTAATATGTTGGTTCGAAGCTGTCATTTTTGATACATATGCCTCACTAAAACCACACGCTTTAACTCAAACCACACAAAGGAACTGACATGTTTATTTTTATAATGGAAGGGTCGCTATAATAGAGGTTATATTTAAAAAACTAGACTGTATATTACAATTTATGCAAAATTAATATAGCATTTAATAATATAATTAAACAAAATTTAATTGCTAAAAGCCACTAGCTCTTGCTGTTAAAAGCTTTTAGTTCTTGTTGACAATAATCATTTATAAGAGACTTTGCGAATATGTATTCTCATTGCAGTTGCTCAAATTGCTGGAGTAAATATTGCACTAATTAAAATTCAGCTGAACTTTCGAATTTGATTTGTGTAATCTTTGCACGAATTTGGTTTATCACAATATAAAGAAAATTTGAAATAAAAAATGCCTTTATTGTGAAAAACTGTTTTTTCAGTATTTTTTTTCGAAGTAATATGGTGGACTTTTTACTAATTTTTGAGACCCCCTAGGAAGTGTGGACCCTAGGCCCGTGCCCATTAAGCCTAGGCAATAATCAGGCTCTACATAGCGTTTATTCTCCACCGTACCAAGCGGTGCCTAAAGCGTGAGTGTTTCCTGGAGTGCCTATAGGATTGTCATTAGAGTTAAACACTTTTAAAGCGTAACATAAAACTACTTAATTTGTAATAATACCTCTAGTTTTTATAAGTTATTCGATATCTGCATAAAAATGTATGCATTTTTTTAAGTTTTTGATTAGATGTAGTAAAATTTACATTGAAAAAAAATTTATCAGAAAAATTAAAATGTATTTGCCAAACAATAAAATTTTTTATTGTGAGCGCCATCTATGCTAAAAATGTGGTAGAACATTGGTAGACACGTGACCACTAGCAGTTAAAATTTAATTTTTCGTGATACATTTATTTTCCCTGTAACCGTTAGTATTAAGCAAAACTTTCCTCCTTTGACTGTTCAACTTTTCGTTGATGTAATACTATTCATGTCCTGTATCACATATTGTGAAAATTAGAGCAGCCTTTTTATTTACGTGGTGGGGGTACGTGAAGCAGTTAAATATATAATCATGTCAGATTCCACTTTAGATGATTTTTTCGCTAAAAAGGATAGATCAAAAAAAGGAAAGGCTAAATCAAAATATACGACGTCGGACACTATAGCGAAAAAATTAGAAGAAGGCGGCAAAAAACCCGATGTTGTTATGAAGAAAGATGTGAAAGAAAAAATTCCATTAAGTTCTAGCAATCCATCTATAGCTATTCCTTCAATTACTAACGAACAAGTAAGTTATTTTTTATTCATTTTTGTAGGGTGGTGTGTTTTTTTTCTAGTAAAGTCTATACGTCAGTCAAACTGTTAGCAGCTATCTCTGTTGAAATTTATTGTATAATAGTGTAGTTTAAACTTATATGGAGATGTTCAAATGAGCTTATTACCACTTGGGCTTTTAATTTTCTATATAAAATGCTATGTCATGGATTATGGGTTAGAATTTATGAGCTGTTAAAAGAGCTTCATAATTATTTTTTATCGTTCATTAATCTTTCTGATTATGTTTTTCTTTGACTAATAAAATATAGATATTAGTAAATAAATTTTATAGTTAAATAACTTGCATGTTTAAAATTTATAGTGTAAATCAAAGTTTTAACATAATGTGTAATATTTATCATTAAAACTATTTATAATTTGATAGCCTCTTAAATTAAGAATGTTTCTTGAAGCTTATGAACGCCAGATTTTAAAGAATCTAATTGTCATTAGCCACTCTTAATTTGTCATATTTGTTACCATGATTTTTTCCAGATTTGTTGATTCTTATAAAAAGAGCTATTCTTGTGAATGACCTACTAATAATATTCTCGGAGATTTTGGGCTTCATATCAAAGATGAAGCATCCAAACTTAAAGAGAGAGAAAATAGAATTTTACCTAAGTGTTTCTACAAGTTTTAAGGGGATATTATCAAATCCTGATCTAATGTACCAACAGCAATCTAAAGCTCAGTGATTATTTTGGAACAGATATCTATGAGAGGTGTTTATCTATACAGTATGTGTTTTTCTAAAAATCATTTTTTTCCGAGAGGCGAAATGATTTTTTTGTACACTTATATTTTATTTTTTTAACTATTAGAAAGATTTTTCTTCAGCAAGTAGCGATCTTCTAAAATTATTATTCAATGGTGCAATACCATTGTCATTTGTCTAATCACTTTTAGTGTTATGGATTAAGGAAATAGAATTATTAGGTAATAATTGTAATCTTTTAAAATTATTTATAAATTCTTGTCCAATTGACCTGTCAGGATTATTTATCAGTCTTGATTTTCAACAATTATCATCGACGTTCATATCAGGGTTTACCAAAACCGCGGTGAAAATCCAATGTTTTTTTTTTTTAGAACGAAAAAACAATTGTTTTCGGGGATGAGTGTGTTCTTTTAGAAACATTTTCATAATACAAAATCAGATATAGTAGTAGACTAGGTAAAATGTAAAACTTTCTGCAAACTCATAATCTCATAAAAGTTTCGGCACACTTTGATTAACTTTTGTAAATTTGTTTGTGAAATTGTGTTGAAGATTTGTTTGAAAAGCATAATTTTTTTTTTTTTAAAGTTTCATTTTTATAGAGCTTTGTAATAATTCATGCTAGGGAGATGAGTCTGTTAAAAAAAACACCTAATAGGCTGAATAAAGAAATCCATAGTAGTTAAGTGATAAATCACTTCTTAAGTAGCTAAGACGAATACTTGAAATTTGAGCGAGGAAAAAGGTGTTTGTAGGATCTGCAGAATATTTTCCAACTTTTTAATAAAATTATTGAAACAAGATTTGTTGTTTATTTAAAGTGTGTGATTGTGAATCTCAATGTCAGATTTTTAAATCAAATCACACACAGATATAAATCTATTTTCAGAATCATGTAAGCACGAGTCTCGATATTTGATTTTAGACTTTCGTGAATACATAATCGTGTTAATACGAATCTTGATATTTGATTCTAAAACTGTCTGAACAGTTATCTCTATGTTTAGTTTTAGAATAGTGTGAATACAAACCTCAATGTTTAATTTTATAATTGTTTGAATACGCATTTTGATATCTAATTTTTGAAATGCTTAAGTGCAGCTTTTAATGCGCGTTAATATGAAACATCATGATATAAATCATAAAAATACAAAACAAGTGGCACAATCTTAAATCGCACGAATAGTAATATTGATATTCGATTTTAAAATTTTGTGAATACAATCTCTGATGTATAATATTTAGGTCAGTTTTAAATTGCATAAATATGAATTTCGCTGTTGGGTGTAATTGTGAAAATACAAAGCATGATTTGCATTCTAAATTGCGTAAATAGTCTTTGAAAATTATTTTGCACTTTGTTAATGTAGCTATACAGTGCTTAAAAATATTTTTGAGTGCTTAAAAAGTACTTAATAGGTGCTTATTTTTGGTTGAAAGATTTGGGTATGAACCCTGAAACACATTAATATTTTATTTCTTTTCTTATTTTGCTAATGGTTAAAAAAATTTCCACGATTGCTGTTTCGTGTATATTATTAGACAGGTCTGTATAGTAGTGCATGCAGTAAACAAGCAGTGCTGAAAAATTTTGCATCAGTATATACTCTTTTCCCTTTGATTTGCATATCACCTTCTGGTTAAAAAAAAAATTCATACTTCATGTACCTGAAACTATTATTGCATGCTGTAGGAGCTTAAATGGTTCTTTATGAAGTTTAATCATTTCAATGTTGCTGATGGAAAAAAAAAATTATACCTTTGATATTACTCTTTCAATATTCATACATTTTATGTATACAGTGGGTGATCGGTTAACGAACAAATCGCTTAACGAACACTTTCACGAACGATTTTTGTGTTCGGTTAACGAACACATATTCGGATAACGAACATTTTCAAGAAAGATTTTTTGTGTTCGGACAACGAACACATATTCGGATAATGAACAAAACGAATTCTAACGAACATTTCTCGGCCTGAAAAAAAAGTACTATTAAACGTTTGTTATCATTTTGCATACAAAATAAGATCACTGAAAGGAGAAATATTTAAAGCATGCTTAGTAATATTGATAATTACTAAATGAAACTTGAATTAACAATGAATTTAAATTTAAAGGTCATTCAATAATTATTATTATAAAGCTTAAAACATTTCTCGTTTACCACTCTGAGAATCCCAGAGCATTAAAAAAAAATTCCATAATTAAGAACAAACTGCCAGTAATGTGGAGATCGAATCAGAGGGCATGGGTCACGCAGTATCTTTTCAAAGAATGGCTATTTGAAGNTATTTGGTCTTATCGGTATTGATGATTAGTCCCATATCCCTAGCAGCAAGCTCCAAAGAAAGGAAAGCTTCTTTTAATGCAGGAACAGTTCGTGCAATGATGTCTAAATCATCCGCATACGCCAATATTTGAATAGATTTTGAAAATATGTTGCCTCTGATATTGATTTCAGCATCTCTTATAACTTTCTCTAGAGCAACATTAAAAAGAAGACAGGATAAGGAGTCTCCCTGTCTGACTCCATTATTTACTTTAATTTCTTCAGATAAAGATCCCAAAAGTTTGACTCTGCATAAGGTGTTTGACATGCTTGCTTCTACAAGTCTAATTAGTTTTGGTGGTACTTGAAACTCAACCAGGGCTTCATACAAGCGATTTCTATTAATACTGTCAAAGGCTTCTTTGAAATCAATAAAGAGATGATGTGTGGTAATACCAAATTCCCTGGTCTTCTCTAAAATTTGTCTAAGTGCAAATATTTGATCTTTAGTAGATTTTCCCTTGGCGGTAAACAAGCAGTGCTGAAAAATTTTGCATCACTCTTTTCCCTTTGATTTGCATATCACCTTCTGGTTAAAAAAAATTCATACTTCTTGTACCTGAAATTGTTATTGCATGCTGTAAGAGCTTAAATGGTTCTTTATGAAGTTTAATAATTTCAATGTTGCTGATGAAAAAAAAAAATTATACCTTTGATATTACTCTTTCAATATTCATACATTTTATATATATATTAGTTATTTGATCATGCAATGGTCTTTGCAAACTTTCTTTTGACATTTTGCACTCATTCTATAAATATCAAGTTCCCAAATTCAAAAGAGTTTTGTATTGACCCGCAGAACCATCTATATTCAACAGTTGTTACATTACAGGGAAAATTTTATGCAAGTATTGCAACATTAGCTTTTGTGTCTGGTGTACTAGTGGCACGTCAGGAGAATTTAAAGAATAAAAAATGAAATCACAAAATTAGTTAAGTAAAGAGCCAAAGTATGCCCAAGTTGTAAGAAAGAACAAAATTAAGATTCCACTTTTTTTATGCTCTGCTGCAATTTAAGTATACTATGGTTCTTCTGTACTCATAAGAAACTTTAGTGATGTGACTTTAATTATCTAGTAAATATCTTTTTTTTTGTTGCTCTGACTGTTCATCATAATTTTTGAATCAGCCTCCGAAAAAATATTTAAAAAATGTTCTCCTTATTTTCAGGAAGATGATGAATGGAAGAATATTGAAGAAAAAGAAGCTGATTATTCAGGTCTTCGTATTCAAGCTCTTTCAATAAGGTAAAAGCTTTATAAAATTTAAAAGTATCTATTTTTTAGGAATTAACTGAATATTTTGACATTATTTGTGCTATGTTGGAGGTGAGCACTTCCATAAAGTTGTAATTGTAAATATGAAAAATGTATTTAGATGCTGATTTAGTATGAATGACTTACAAATGAGTATGTCCAACGCTGCTCTTGCGATCATCAGAGATTTTCAGGCATGTTCCCCTCTCCTTTATTACTCGATAGATATATGTGAAATGATATTGATAATTTATGAAAAATACATATATTTTACTTTATCAAGCACATCTAACTTTCTAAAAAAGGTGTTTTGATATTCTTGGTAATAACTTTTAGTTCGATGCTTTTTTATGTTACTCTTGTGACCACAGTTAAAGATTTTCAAAGAGAACATTTTTGTGGAATTGGAATAAAAAGTTGAAATTCACATTAGGTGGGAATACTCACAAATCGTGTTTAGTTTGCCTGACATAGCTAAGGTCGCACTGATAAGGAATGTGGTAAATGCCCATGTAATTACTAAAGCTAAAAGATCTTTAATAGACTTTTAAAATTGATTTTGTTAACAGCCAGGGTCGCACTGATCCTCTGCGATTACCAAAGCTAATAAGATCTTTAATAGAGTTATATTTGATTTTGTTAACAGACGACCTTTAACAAGCAGCTGTAACAAACACAGCTACATATGTTATTAAAAAAAAATTCTTACTTTTGTGACACTGTCAATTGTTACGCTTGTTCTACGCTCCAAGGCCTGTTCTGTATTTTATATGAATATAGTATTTAATTTAATTTACTTTATTAGAGAATATACTGTAAAGAAACACAAATTCATGAACAATGATATATTACACTAAATTATTGCACCTTTTTTTTACACTTGTAAGAAAATTTTTAGTAACAATTTCAATTTCTGTGTCCTTGAGCAATATTTGTCATTCAAATATATATTTTAATTATTTAATAGATGTTTCGCTTAAAATACTCATGAAAAGTCAATAAGAATATGTGTCAGATACATTTTGTAAATAATTTACTATAATTTACCACTGTTTAAGTAATTTACTATATTATTAAAGTGTTACAGAGATGATTGCTTACATACTGTGTTCATTCCATACCTTAAAAAGGGCTGGGCACTAGAAACTGAAAAGGTCTCCTTAGAAAAGAGCAAAAAAAGACATTGCTCACTAATGTTTGCATAACTTTTATGGCACCCAAAAGGTACAAAGCTTTTAATTTTATCATTAAAAAAATCTTTTTTTCTTCTTCAGATAATTAATTTAAATTAAAAATAATTTCTCATTTTATACATTATCTTTAAAATGAGTGTAATGTGTTGAAAATGTGTCGTGATAGCTTATTATTAAAAATATCAGGATTTTGAAAACAATATCGAAATGAATGAAAAAATGATGGGATCTGCCTAAAAGACAATAGAAAATTAATGTGGAGTCACGCTGGAATCGTTGCAAATCAAGCGTGTGGAAAAGTGGTTACTAAAATATGGAATTAGCTATCCTCAACATCATATTAATTACACCAGAATCGTGAGAAACCACATGGATTTACTGTAAAATCGATCTATTTTGGGCATGTCAAAAAGTGGCTCCTTAAATTGAAAAACTGCCTTGTCGTTATAACATCTACATCTGATATAAATAATCAGAGTGTGAATAAGCAGGTGGAAATGGCCAGAAACGACATTGATTTATTATGGATTCATCGCAAATCAAAAGCTTTAAAAAATAATAATTAAAGATTCACCTGTCACGATAATGAATGTATACATTGATGAGGGAGAGATTACCAACACCAAGGAAAAATTATTGTACGGGTTTAAAATTTTGGCAATGTGTTTGTCTGAGTGTTGTTAAATATAGTTGATTAAAGTTTCAAGATCACTGGTTAATGCAATTACGAGGAAAAAAAATTTAAAATGTGAAAAAAAGGTAAATGATTAACTAGTGTAACTACCAGATTTTTTTATGCATTGTGTCGTACAGATGCCAAATGTCATTTTGTTTGAGAGAGTCCCATCTCTGTTGCACATGGTCAGTCATTAAGAGGATAGTTCATATTGGTTGTGGGTGATGCTGAAGTTGTCGTCCAATGATGCAGGCAGGGGCATCGTGTCGACATTCTGAAGAGCATGTTAGACTACAACAGTAGTACGTGGGCGAGCGTTATCCTGTTGGAAAATACCCCCTTGAGTGCTGCTCATTAATGGCAAGAAATTAGATTGATGTACAAATTTGCAGTGAGGGTGCATGGTGCTCCTGCTGTCTTAGGAAATTGTTCCCCTGACCATATTCTGGGTGTAGAAAGCTTTCACCTGGCCTCCTCCTAATCCATATCATAGGCACCAAGACAGAACCGACTTTCATCAGAATATACAATAGATCTTTACTCTGTCTTCCAGTGAGCTGTAATTGAACACCACTCATAAATGGCAGTGGTTTGGAGTGAGTGACTTGTAAGCTACAGTTCTGGTGCAGATGCAGTATGGTGTGCCACATCCATACGCTGTGCACTGTGGTCTTCCCTTTGAGTAGTGCTGCATTGTCATCCAGAACACGGTTTTCTTAAAGCAGTACTTTCCCTTGTCCACTGCTGCCACCAATCATGCTCAGGATAGCCTGGTTGTTAGAGCACTGGGTCCAGTTCCAAGAGGTCGTGGGTTCGATCCCCGCCGGCCAAACACACCCCGTGTTGTAAGTGGTGACTGATGCACATTAAATCTGTCGAGTCGCAAAGTCCTCCCTGTACCCGTAACAAATCAATACCTCTAGGGGGTACTGATCCAGAAGTTTCCTTGTCTTCTGGATTGGATTCAATATAACAGGGCTACAGAGTTGAACATCATTCGCCGTTAACTCAAAATTGGGTCGGCTGTTCGACAACGGTAATAAAATATAAAATTATGCACGGGGGTTGCATTTCTCTCCAGTCTTTCTTCAGTGTTTGTTGCGGAAAGAAAATCCACCTTCTCCCAGCCTTATTACACGACCACGTTAAAAGTCATTGAGCTGTTAATAATGGCTTCTTTGTCTTCTTAAAGGTATTCTTGCCTAACAGCAACTATGTCAAAATTTATGGAAAAATAATGCTTAAGAATTATAGAATACATATTAAAGGCAACCATGATTTGCATGTTCACTGTGGTGTTACTGATGCGAAATTAGAATAGACATCTTTTAGTTGTAAATGCAAGCCGTGCAAATTTAGTTTATCTAGTACAGGGATGGCGAACCAGTGGCACGCGACACAATATTTTGGGCACTCCACCGATCACAATTGTTGTTACACTATGAATTGTTATTACACAAATTTTATTACGCTATGAAGCATATGTAACAATTAAATTAAAATTCACAAAAAACAAACAAAATAATAAACAATTATTAATGAAAAAAATTAAAAATTAATACTAAAAAAACNAGTTGTAAATGCAGGCTGTGCAAATTTAGTTTATCTTGTACAGGGATGGCGAACCAATGGCATGCGACACAATATTTTGGGCACTCCACCAATCACAATTGTTGTTACACTATGAATTGTTATTACACAAATTTTATTACGCTATGAAGCATATGTAACAATTAAATTAAAATTCACAAAAAACAAACAAAATAATAAACAATTATTAATGAAAAAAATTAAAAATTAATACTAAAAAAACTATTAATAACCATAAAAAACAAGCTAACAATAAATAACTAGCAAAAAAAATCAACAGTCATGCTTAAACTAACATCTTACAACCTAATATGAGTTATTGATCATCTAATCTGCAACTACAGAAGTCACACTGATCTTACTTTAAGTTGAATTACGTGTATAACTGAGACATTGCAAAATGTATTCTTTTTTTCAATGTAAATAAAGAGTTTTGCGTGGATAGTATTTAGTATTATTATTTTCCCAATAATAACGAAGTCAAACTTATTTGACAGCACGTCTATGGCCTCATTAAGCAATGTTTAGAGAAAATGGCACATTGGTGTATAAAGGTTCGCCACCCCTGATCTAGTACAACTCCTGCTTGGTTTTGAGATTTTTTTTCCATCAGTGTGTATAACAAAGTATTTAAATAACTTAAAGCCCTTTTACCTTTAATTAAAGCTTTTTTGTTTATTAAATTTTTTGCTAATTTCTTAGAGAAAATATTGGATATTTAGTTATCTGAAAATCAAATTAATTCATTTCCTCTGATTTTTTGAGTGTTTTAGTTAAATTCCCTGACACATTCCAAATTTTTACAGATAAATAATATTCCCTTATTTTTCCCTGATGCTTTTCTGTGGCCATTCTTTTATTATAACCAAAGCATGAGGGAGGTCTACCCCTATTTATCAAAATTTCAGAATATTTTTATACTAATTTCTTTTTAAATTAAACCCCCAATTTTTTTTTTTAGTTACGATTGGATATCTTATTGATGTTGGTGTTAATTGTTTTTTTATCTAGGGAAGAAAAAATTTGTTATAAGGTATAATTTAATTGTAAAACTTTTTAAAACGTAACTACATTGGAAAGGGCTAATTCTGAATCAGCTGATGTTAAGCATATTTACGATGTGCATTATTCATATGTGTGCACTTCTGTGAACTGTTAGAATTTGTAGTGTTACATTCAGGATATCTGTGCACTTGGAAAATCATGAATTTCAGTATTGAGCAAAATTAGTCATGATTTTAACTATTTTTTTTAAAGAAAAATCATGGATTTAGGTAACTGAAAGATCTAATTTTTAAAATGGAATTTAACCCCCCTCCCTCCAGTTTCATGGTGTCCCAAATATCTGAATTTGTAATGAAATCCCCACTCATAGTCATATTTTATTAAAATATAAAATGTTTTTTCATGTTCTTTAAAAATTATGGTAAAATTTTAAACTTCTGTGATTTCAGAATTTTTGTTATTTAATTTTTTTATTTTATCAATTAAATAGTCCAGCTAAAGCAAGCCAGTCTTTGGTGAATTTTTTTTATTCCGGAATGAGAACAGAAAAATCAGGAGTATTTCTTTCCTTTTCAATGAACATAAAAAGTATCTTTAGAATATAATTCTGCAGGGGAAAAAAATTATAATTATTTGCTTTTGTATTTTTTCAGCTATTTTATTGCTTCAACTCTTTCTTTCTATAAATATGAAGATGCAGAATATATAATTTCAAATAATGTTATTATACTGCTTTTTAAATTTACTGTTTCCGTCGGAGAAAATTGTGACTTTGTTAAGCCATGAAAAATTCTTAGAATTAGTCAGAAAAGTTATGAATTGAAAATCTAAAATGTAGCAGATGACCTGTACATTACACCAACCTTCATTTTTATGTTTAAATGTATTTTAGAAACTTTTTTTTTTAAAAAAAATCAAGTTTATTTTGGTTATGTTACTTATTTGGGCACATATTTTGTTTTTTTGTTATTTACCAGAGTTTTTTTTTTCTCTCCTCTTTTTAGTGAAAAAGAGAAAGAAGAAGAACAGTTGAAGGAACAATTATTATCAGAACAAAATGGTGAATCGAGAAAAGAATCTGATGGTCAATCTGGTCCATGGAAAGTTGTCCAAACGCCAGTCTCTGAGATAGAAGAGGAAGAAGAAAGTATGTGTATACTTCTTTGAAATAACCATTACTGTCACCTATTGGCAAAATGGGTCTTGTTTTGGGTTTGATGGCGTGTGCATACGTGGTTGCATGCTATGTTGTATATATGTATTTTTTCCATTTTATTTTCACCAGCAGTCATTCTTAATGTATTTACGTAATAATTTTAAGTATTTTTATTATTAATGTATAATTACTGTCTTGACGGTGATTTTAATATAAATATGAATACTGAAGAAGGAAGGTGACATCTTGAAACACGTGTATAGCAAGGATTTGGAAACCAAATCATCGACAAACATCAACTGAGACAGTTTTTTGCAACCTATGAATTAAAATGTTACGGCGTTTATCGAAGTTAAACCAGAGAAGAAAAAGGAGAAAAAAATGCATCTGACCAATGGATTACCAGTGATCGTAATAAGGCGATCACAATTTTTTTATTTATTATTTTTTTATGCTGTCAGATTTTAAATGTCATGATTTTTTATTTACTTTGTTTTGAAAATAAAAAAAATTCCACGATGACTGATAGATATTATAAACAGTAATTTCCAAATTGATAAAATTTTAAAAAGTTAATGACACAAAAAAATTTTTAGAACAGGAGGATATCACCAGTAATATCAGAATATGTATTCTTTTATATGTATATTAAAAAAAAAATTTTGCATTTATAATTTTAGAAAAATTATGTACTGTTTGTTTTATTCTGTACATGAAGGGTATTTTTTTTTTTTTGTTAACAGGAAACTCTTTTGTTACTTGAAGTTTGTTATATTATATATATTTGCTATTAGTAAAAATTATTTTCAGAAAGGTAAGTTCTAGAGAGAATTGCCGAAAGATCTAAAAAATTCTGCTACAAGGCAATTTTCAAACAATGATTAATATATTGAACCTTTTCAAAGAACTCTGATTTTTAAATGAAGGTACAATATACACTTCAAATTCTCAGTACTGGTAAGTAATCCAATTCTTTTGACTGTAGTTTAGACCCAGGAATAATAGGTTTGAATAGTTTTCTTGGGACTTTTGTTATGGATTAATTCATTGTTAATTGAAAAATGTTAGTTTTGATAGTGTAAAAATGACTTAACACCAGTTTTTGGAGTGAATTTCTGGGAATAGAGGGGAAAAAATTGAACAAATTTTCGGTCTTTTTTATTGGAATAAATGGTTATTGGAAGTTCTGATTGGCATTAAAATAACATTGCCTCCCCTGTGGCAGAATATCTTTGAACTTTTCGCGACAATTCTCTCTTGTACTAATACCTTTCTGTAAGACATTTTTAATAGTAGCAAATATATATGTTACTAATTTAAAGTAACAGAAATGCTTTCTGTTTACAAAAAAGCTCTTATGTATAGAATAGAACAGTATATATATTTTTTAATTATATGTGTAAGAATTTATTTTAAAATCTAAATATAGAAGAATAGATATTCTTATGTTCTAAAAAATATTTGTTTAATTAACCTTTTTAAATTTTTGCTATTTGGAAATTACTTTTTATAATATTAATGCGAAATTCTAGCTAAAACCAGTCAGTGCGGAATTTTTTTATTCTCAAAAGACAGTAGACTTCTCAGCTTCCCAAATAAAAAATCTTTCTGCAAGGATTCTGTAGCTTTCTGCAACAGTGTCGTCACATTTCTGCCATGGAGATTGCCTCTATGGAAGAGTCGTATTGGTGGATCGTGCTAAAAAGCGTAGACTGTATAGTGTTATCATTTAGTTAACAAGTGTTAAGTTAACCATTTAGATTGGCTGTTGATCCCAACTTTACTCAGTTATATAAGGTGACATTTCATAGGGTAACTCAGTTATATAAGGCAATAAATTTTCCCCTTGACCTGGCACATAATACCAAACTTCATTTTGGACACATAGTTTAAAGTCTGAATTTTTTCCGACTCTACATTCAGTCTAAATTTATACAGTCCAAATATATCGTTTGAAAACTTATTTAAAATCTGTTAGCAACAAAGTTGATGCCTTGTGAAATTTTAAGAGTGCAAGTTTTTGATGTGAAACAAAATTTTTTTTGTTTTTGGTACTCTTAAAAAATCAGTAATAGTCGTGTTATTTAATTCATCATTGAGATGGAGCTAGAAGAACAGTTAAGAGAATGAATTAGGGGCAATCCATACCGGTGTGTTTGAGGTATTTATGAAAAAACAACATGCAAATATCATCATCAGTGGTGAACAGAATACTTACGAAAGATTGACGGCTATAGCTATAACCAACACTCAAAATGAAGCTAGAATCAGGAAGCACAAGATGTTCCATTTATCTTGCAGCAAGATGAAACATTTTGCCTTACTAGATGGTCCGAGTACAATCGAATCGAGTAAATTGAGCATATCATTAAGTGGTTACTTAAATGCATAATTCAAATATTGCATGTAAATTTCGAAAAAAAAATTTCTTTTCACTTTTTAAATGAGCAATCTTTCTGCAAGAGCTCTATTACGCTCTGCGACAATGTGGCCAGGTCACTGCAATTCTGTCACGGTGTATATATGTGTGTGTGTTGGAAATATAAAGAAAACATGGTAAAAATTAAAGAAAAGGTATTAAAAAATGTTTCTTCTCTTTTCATTAATCTTTAATATTTTCCATGTTTTCTCTATATTTTTAACTTATATTATGAGTTCTATACACTTGCAGCTTATGTGCTGTAAATGAAACTTATTCATTTTCTTTTCTTTATATCCTTTTTGTCTTAATTGTGCTATATATACATATACGTGTGAATATTAATTGTGTGATCTATTTGAATTTAAATTAAGTTTTTTTTTTAGTACCATCTAAAGAAGAACCTGAAGTGAAGGAAGAAACAACGCCTGCTAGCAAACCTGTTGGAACGTACAGACCTCCGGCTCTGAGGAATGCTCCAGCATCTACACCTACATCTGGAGGAGGTAGAAGACACCCAAAAAATGCCCCACAAATAAGTAGTGAACTTCATTTTCCTTCCCTCTCCTCTGCTGTGGATAGCAACAAATGGAAACTTGGGTGAGTTATCCGACCTACTACTTGTACAATATTTTTTTGAATAGCCAATTTAGTACCTATCAAAATAAAGTACTCTGAACTAAAGTTTCAAGGTTGAAGACTCTGATAATTAAGACCTGATTTAAAATTAAGACCTCTGAACTACGGTTTCCACTCCACAGGGAAAACCTGGAAAATACAGGGAATTTAAAAATCTCCTAAAATAACTGGGAAAAGACAGGGAATTGTGATTTTTTTTTAAAAACAAACTGGGAAAATACAGGGAATTTTGTTCCTTATTTTTGTCTCTTAAAAATTTTTTTACCTCTTAAAGTGTAATCTATGGTATATTGAACCATGATATTTCAGCTCTGTTAAACTGTTTCATTTACTGTAGCATTATTTAAATATGTTCAGCTGTTTTTCCACCAATTAAAACTATATTTAGCCCAATATAGCTCAATTGCAGGGAATTATTTCTGAAATCAAGTAATCCAAGTTTTTATTGTGTTATTTTAAATTTGTTATTGTTTGCATTCAAAACTATTTGAATTGGGATTTAAGCAGGGTTCATGGTTTTTTTTTTTTTTTTTAAATTAAAAAAATCAGATTTTTTTTATTTAAATCACATTTTTTTTATTCAAACACATTGTAAGAACTTTAATTTATGATTAAAAATACTTTATAAATGTTTAATCAAAATTATATTAATATTAAAACAATATTATAACACTATTTCGGAAACTCTAACTTACTAATATAATTTTTCATTATAATTCATAGCTTTGAATGCATAGCAACCATTTTCAAACAAATGCATAATTGAAATTTGAAGACTAAGATAAAATAGAGAATTTAATGAAAGACGCCTGTCTAGGTTTGTCTGAAAGGTTTTTATTTTGTGAAAATTTAGACATAATTTGTGAAAATTAAAACTAATATTTAAAAATCAACACAAAAATATGGATTTATTCGTTTTTTATGAAACATAAAAGTAAAATTTAAAAAACAAGTATTTTGTGAAACTATTGTTTTTCCTAAAGTTGAATCTGTGAAGGTACCCTAAGCAGTAGCAAATTTGACTTGGACAGACTCTTTAACTATTAAATTAAAGTTTCAATTAGCAAACCGTAATTTTAATTTAAAATTGTGTTTTTTATTTCTCTTGATTTTTAATATGACAAAAAAAATTTAATAGATTGTACTTATAAATGTATCAAATAATATCAAATTATAAATTCATCAAAAAGTAAATAAATATTTAATCTATATGTTATAATTAAAATATTCATTTTTAATTCTATATCAAAATAGATCAGCTAAAAAATTTTTTAAAGAACATGCTCTCATTGGAATTTTTTTTCGCGAAATATCTTCATAGAAAATCTGATAATGTCGAAGATACTGTAAACATATTATGAGAAAAAAATCAGTTACCAGTTAATAACTCTACTGCCTCAAATAGACTTTGAAAGGGAAGAATGACACTATATCAGGAAAAATTATCTGAATTCATTAGCCTCTTTTTTTCTTCTATTTTTGGCATATTAGGATAATTTATTTTTAATATAACCTCAAGCTTTAGATATATACATTTTCCACCAATAAAATATAATGTAGATTTTAATTCCATGCTGTTTCAATCAAAAGGTAGAATTTTAATAAAGATTATTTGCATTTTTTTCCCTTCAAACTTCATGTCTATTAATTACTTTCTACAGCTATGCAAGTCTATATTAAGACAGCATTAAATGTGTACTTTCAATCTAAAGAATCAAAAGATTTTTAAAAATGTAATTTCAAATGTGTCGAAATTTAACACACACGAAGAAAGTAATTTCGTTAACTAAAATTAATTAACACAGCAATTTATTTAAAATAAATTTTAAAACTACGAAAAGAAAGTAATAAAAGTATCAATAATTTAAAACACTGTTTTTCAACTTTTGAAATCAATATATATATATATATATTTAAAAATATCATTTGATTTAAATCAAGCTGTTTTAAATCAACAAACCCCGGATTTAAGTATGCATTTTGTGTTCTTTAGTGCATTTTTTTGTTTTGTTTCATACTGAAAATTTGTTTTTATATTTTGAGTTTGATCATGCATACTTACAATTTTCTTCCCCTTGTCTGTTATAAAAACTATAAGATGTTATTTTTTTTATGTTGAAAAATCTTGTTGGTTGTTTTTTAAAAAATCCTTTTAATTATTAGTGTCATTATTTCTATCTTTCCCATTTGTACTGAGTAACAAATAAAATTGGTTATCAATACAGAGATGAAATGAAGACAATTTCCGTTAAATTTCTCTCTAAAAATTTTAAGTACAGGATAAAATAATAATGTAAGTTTTTTTAACACCTGTAAAAATTTCATATGCTATGAGTTTAGCTTGGCAGCTTTTCCTTGTTAGTATTTCAAAGTATTTGAAATGAATTATACATTTTATAAATTTGGATGGCAGCATCTTTTTTAACTTTAAATTTTGTAATCCAATATGTACTCACATTGTTTAAGAAATAAATCCAAATATCAACGTCCAGTGTTTTCATCATAGAAAAAAAATGGGTGGGAATTTCTCACCCTTTCTCAAAAACAGGGTGAGATTTCAAAAAGTTAAGTGAGATGTCTAAAAACTAAAAAAAACACAAAAACTCTTGGGGAAAAAATCACTTCTTTAATTATAATACATTTTTTATGTCTTCTATTTTTTAAAGCATTGAATATTTTGGTGCATCATCATAGAAGATTTTGCCTTTACAAGGTATTTGTCCATCTTACATAAGTGGATAAAAAATTTGAACGTCTTACATGAAGAAACCTTACCTACGGTAAGCACGTGGTTGCAGAGAAATGTGTTCTGAAAGGGGTTCCGTGGTTGTGTTCTGTTGTTCGAAAAGGTTCTGAACAATACTGGTAAATAGGGAAGCTAGATAATGGGGGCAGATGTTGAAAATAATGAAAGATCCAGGAAGAAAAGTGAAACGGATTTTATTCTAAATGGCGTAATTCAAAGCTTTTTCCAAAATGCGAGAAATTCGCGAATTTTGAAATTGATTTAGAGATAGCGCAAATTTCTCGCGGTAATAATTTTTTAATGCGAGAAAAGAAAAAAATATGCGAGATTCTCGCGCTGTTGTGAGAACACTGACGTCTCTAGCATTCCGTTTGTATCAGTAAAAAAGTATGAACTCCCAAAAGAATCAATCATTTCTTGCACTTGTATTCATCTGTAGATTCCTTGATTGTGCTTTTGCACATTTGCACAAGAAATCTGGGGGGGGGGCAATAAAATGAATTAGTTATGCCTCTTCTTTGTAACATGCATATCTTTCACAAAGAGGTTTATATATTTTTTAAATAGAGACCTGGAATTTTTAGGTCAGGATAAGAAAGACCTTGTAATTTCCAAATTCTAGCAGGATTACTAGCATTCATATACATTGAAGGACTAGTACTGAACTAGTAGTTCATTTTTTGAACTGATACTAGGACATAGAGCTTTGAAGAGTGGTACAAATTCCATTTCGTTACTTTTTAAAACTATTATATGTTTACGATTATCAATTTCTACAGAATCACATTTAAGGATTATATAAGTTTACGAATTAGTACCGAACTAGTAGTTACTTCTTTGAACTCATACTAAGAAGTAGATTTTTGAAGAGTGACGCAGATTCGATTTCCTTACTTTATAAACTATCATAAATTAATGATTATGAGTTTCTACAAGATTGTATTTTTGTGTTGTTCAACTTTTTAATATTTTTATTTTCATTTTTTTTTCTTTCAACTTTCAAGGTTATAAAATAGTTTCCACACATACATTACCTAAAATAAATTTCTTTCATCGCAATTTCACTTACATTTTTTTCTACTTTGACAAAAGAAAAATTACGAACTGTTTATTTTGTTTTAAATCTTAAACTGTCAAAATGAAAAAACGAGAAAAGTTTTTTTATTAACTTCAATTAAATAATTTTTCAAAGCAATTTATAAGAATAGTTCATTTTAATTTGATTCCTGAAATATTTTCTCCTGAGCTGGCTGAATTATCTAATTTCATTTTAAATATGTTTATATAATCCCAGATATAAGTAAATGAAAATGATAAGTATTTCATTTAGTATAGCTGATTTTCTTAACTATTCAGCCATAATAATTGTATGGATTTGTGCTAGTTATGTCCTATGGTCCTAGGATATATAGCTTTATTAAAGGTGGCATAATGGAATTTTTTTTTAATTAAAGGGTTATGAGGGATTGATATTATAATTAACTCAATTACTGAAAATTATGTTAAAAACAAAAAATTTTCAATTTATAAATTAAGTTTGATGCTAAAAATAGCTGATTTTCTTAACTGATACTCAGTTGTATCAGTTAGTGACTGGTACCATATCTGCTTATGCATCATGGTGTAAAGCGTTTTTAAAAAGTGCTTATTTTCAGTTTGTTTTTTTAAAAACCCTAAAGGTGCTTTTTTTGTTGGGTGTTTTTAAAAAGTACTTAATTTTCCCCTTTTTTTTTATCCTGTCGATTTTTGCCACGTTTTATGCAAAAACGTGCTTTTCACATTGTTCTATTCAACATTTCGCGATTCATTGAACCACAATCCATTTCGGCCTAGCGTCGGTCCATAGCATATAAAAGCAAACCCTAATCGTTCTACATGTTTGGTGAAATACTTGCGAGTCCGCATGTGCATCTACTGAGCTGGGTTCAGTGAGACTCTTTCATGCGCAATTCTGCTGCATTTTGTAAGATATTCTCAATATCAGGCTTCATTTTCCACCCTCTGATATCGAACCGAAAAATCTCTCGATCATTTTATAATGACTAATATAATCAAAAAAAGAGTTTGTTGTCAGAAACTAGTTATTTTATCATAATCATGTAAAGTCTTTGAAAATTATTTTGCATTTTGTTATTATATATGGTGCTTAAAAATATTTAAGTGCTTAAAAAGGGTATAAAAGGTGCTTATTTTTTGTTGAAAGATTTGGCTACTCACCCTGTGCATGTCTAAAGAAAGGTGTTGTTTTAAGCAACAACCTTAATTTAACTAAATTTTTCTGTGAATCTCAAATATTTCTTATTTTAAGTTTCTAAAATTTTGATTTTTAGGTTTTATACCAATATTTTTTCTTTCTTTTTAGGGAATCTGATCGTAGTTTTCAATCAGTTAAGCATGGTGTGCGGTCAAAAGATAATACTCAGAGGGAATTAAAGCTTGATTTAGAAAACAAATTCTCTGCTCTGCACCAAAATGAATAATAATTAGAAATATCAAAGAATCAATTTTTTTGCAATGCCTTTATACTACAGTAAACTTACAAGCTGTTACAATTTATTAAATGAAATAAACATTTTCTGGTCAACATCTGCAACATTTTACAATGAAAAAAATGAATTTATTTTGTATCGACAATAAAAATTAGTCCATGTTCTGTCATAATTTTGTAAGAAATGGTGATTAGAGAGTTATTTAGTCTGTTCATAATGCTACGTAAGCTTTTATTGAAGAATGGGTTATGAGTGGTGATATAACCATGAAATATGTTTTATAAATCTATTTAATTAATTATCAGAAATGTGCTTTTAACTATTGAATAACTGTGAGGAAAAAGTGGCTTAATATTTTTTAGTTTGGAAGAAGAAAAAAAATGGTTTTTTGTGTTGATTTCTTTAGTGTCTCAATTCTTCATATGTGACGTTCATGTAAGCATTTAACATCTCAAGTGCTTATTAAAGCTGCAGTTTATTTTATTTTATACCTATGTAAATTGTTATAGAAAAGTGTTTAAATAAAAGTAATGTATTTCACAGTATGTTGTTTTCTTTTATATGCTCTTTATCATTTATTTCACCCTATTCAGCATTGTTTACTCTTTTCGAAAATGAACAAAAAAGTGTTCCTTATTCCAAAGGAGGTGCGAACTTTTATGAGCACCAGCTAATAAATTTGTTATATTAATGTTCTACATTTAATATTTTTGCTGGTGCTTTTATTTATTAGTTTTTGTCAGGGGGGGGATTTTTATTGAGAAATTACGATAATTAAATTTAGAAAAATTTTTTTATTTTTTTTCAAGTGTTACAACATTTTTGTTATAGTAAATTTTCAATCGAGACCAAAAGTTTAGTAGCCAATTTGACTTCAGTAATCCTATTATCTTATGTTTTTAGATTTTGTTTGTTTAATGCTGGATTCATCTTGGCAAGGTTTAGGACAGAATGGATTAACCCACGGTTTAAACCTTCCTGTCCAAAGCCTTTTCACACAAATTATGTCACAATTTTAAAAAAAATATTGTAAAAAATAAGATGTTAATTTTTGAACGAGAAACAAAATGAAGACAAGTTTTGATTTTATTAAAAAAGTTTATTATTTTTAATATTGAATTATTTATCCTTATGCAAAAACATAATCTATCAGTATTTAAAGCATGTTTATTCATTTTTACTGGATAAGGTATTCGCTTTTATTGTTCAGTGAATTGTGGAGCTTCACAAGTTATACATCTTTTCCTATTATATTATTTTTCTTCAATATGTTCATTAAATTGTATAAAAAGTATCAAATATTTATTAATATTATGTGTACAATGGTTGCACATGGACAAATATAAAAATTTTACCTCTTACCAATTATCAAGGTTTTGGACACTTGAAGACAGTTTTAGGCAGTAAAACCTGAGTGTCAGGTCCAAAACCAATTAAGGACATCCAAAACCCCAGCCCAGATCTTAATCAATTAATTATAGTAGTTAGAAATACAATAGTCTATAGTTTTTTCTATTATCTTATTTTAATGCTAGACATACAAATACTTTATAATACAATCGACTGGTTATGATATGTTTACTGTTAATTGCTTTTAAAAAGAATGTCTGATTTTTCAAAACTTATTTGAATTTTGTCTTATTTATTAAATTTGAAAGTGATAGCTAATAATGTAATAATTATTATAAAGTGATCGTTTTCATTTAAGGATTCTTTAAGTTTTTGTTCTGGAAGCATTGTAAAAAGTGGTTTATTCATCCAATACATAACCAGTCTCGTTCACACCAGCAATATCAAAATCTCAATTTGGAAAATTGTTCCCAGTGTTTCTCTAGCTATTGCAGTATCGAAGGCAATTAATGTGTTGCTATTCATTTGCTAAGGGAGCTTGTTAACTGCATCAACTTTCTTACTTACATCCTTTTAAAAAAGCTAACCATAGGAGGCGATCAGAATTCTACATAATACCCACGTCATGTTGAAAATGTTCCATCTAGACCTATTCGAGATCTCTGGAGGCACATTGCAGTTGCAAGCTTCAGAATCTTTTTGCATGGACATTTAACATTGCATTTGTGTTTCGTCTGAGCTGCTCATGGGGAACTAAGTGAATTTTAATCATACTTTGTTTTGTCCTCCAAGATGAACATTTCTGTTGCTGAGCACAATTTGCACCTCGAGGTAAGTAGTTGTTCTTAAACTCTTTCCTGATGTATGATCAAAAGAGGGGAAAAAATTTTAACAGTCTTTATAAGTTGTCAACTTTTCTGTATTTTTCAAATGCTTTCTGCATTTAACCTGATAATGTCCAAACATTATAAAACTAAATCCCTAACATAAATATTTGATGTTTGAAAGACATGTAGTTTTTTTTTCATTGCGCTGCACAGAATACGTCCCTAAGATGAATGTTAGCATTTTTTGTTGCTAGTATAATACACAACATGGATGTACGGTAGCCATTGAATTGTTCCAATAGAAAACTTAAGAGCTTTGCCTCTTACAAAATAGAAATAATAATTTTCTATAAAGTTATATATTTTTTAAACGTAGATTTTTTTTTCCTTCAGAAACATAGCAGGATTGTTGTTTTGCTTTGAAGTTGTAACTTATTTGCTTGCTGAACAACGTGTTTCACAATTTGAATATCGGTTGCCACAGGCTACTAAAATGCGACTATTTTCGGCCTTAGGCGACTATTGGGAGACTTTTTTACTCTTAGCGAAGTTATTTTTATACTTATTTTTCGTAGACCTACTGTTACTTTGCGATTGCTGCACAATCGCTGTTATCTTAAACTTTCAATCTGAACTCAATAGATCAATGAAAAGAAAATACAAATTAAAAAAGTTTCTTTATTGGTTTTTTTTTCAATTATTATTTTTCATTTTAAGCGATACAATTTAATAGGGGTATTTTGTACTTAATTTTGTTATAAAAAGTTAGTTTTTTTTAAGTTTATTTAATGTAGGTAAGTATAATAATTTGATTATTTTTAAACCAATAAATGTTCAGTTGTTTTTATTTGTAAAGAAATTAATATAATAATAAGCTTTTTAATAATTTAACATTAGTACTTAAAGTATTTTTTTTTAAATTTTATTAAAATTCTTTCAATACTTGTTTGTTTTATAATTTGTTAGATATAGTCAGTGTCATTTTTAAAGAAATAAATCTTTAGTCAATTTTATTTTCAAAAACGAAAATAATAATAAATAAGTAAAAATATTTTTACATTTATTCAGTACAGAATTTGACCATTAGTTAATACTATTTTATATTATTTTAAATAATTAAATAAGAGATGGTCTAATGATGTTTCAAAAACATGGGTTTTTTTTCTCCACTTTTTTTAATGCATGTATGTAAAATATTTTGTTACTGTATTATTATTTTTAAACCAATAAATCTTAAATCATTTTTAATTTAAGAAGAATGAAATAAATCTTGGGTTTGCTTTTATTTTTGACTTCTTTATTATTTTAATTGAAAAAATTAAGCAATGATATTGATGTCATAGTAGAATATGTTTAGAATTAATATTTTCTTTTGTAATAGATTTATTCCTTTTTATTTATTTTTGATTGATTTCCCATAGCTAATTTCTGAACATATGCTAAATCGCGATGTATCACGATTTAAAATTTCTGACATCAACCAGTCCTTATCATAGTATTTGACAATTAAGCTACAATTTTAATTATTTGGTTACTATTTTTGATAAATTTTTGCTCCTGTTCAGGCAACTATTTTCATGCTTGAGGCTACTAAAAGCAATTATTTTTGTTCATTTTTTACTGTGGCAACTCTGGAATATATATCTATATATTTTTTTGCATGAATAAGTTACTTTTTTTTCTAGAACTTGTTCCCTTTTATCGAAAGTGATTTAAATTATTATTTTTTTTTTTTATAATTATGATCCTAAAGGAATACTATTTTGAAATTGGACACAAACAATGCTAAAAAAAACTTAAATGAAAAAAAAATTCTTCAAAAAAAGTTAAAAATTTAGATTTTGAGATAATAGAAATATAAATTTTTTAAAAATAATTTAACCTTGTTATATTTTATTAAAGGTCAGTAAGAACTGAAAAAACGCCTCCAAATTTAGCTTTCGAAATCAAATAGTTCTCAAGTTAAAGCTGTTGAAATTTTTTTTGAATTTTCAATATTTTGAAAATTTTTATCTCAGAGACTACTTGTTCAAAAAGTAATGTTGCACTTCTCATCTAATCTACTAATTCTATTTCTACGCCAAAGTCAAACAAATTACAAAGACCTGACATTGGTTGATTTTATTTAGAATCACCCTATAATGTTAATATTACCTGCTTAGATCGCCCCTAGAACTTGAAATTCTACACAGTAACATATTGAAAAAGCAACTCCTGATGTTATTGATGAAAAAGAAAATGACAATTTGTTACTTGCTACAATTTGAGGGAAATACCCCTAACATCAGGTTTGATTTTTTAACATTAGTTATTATAAAAATTTTGAAATTTGTAGACTTGTTCTTTTGAAAAATGGTTGTGCTGGCCAGGTTATACAAAGTAGGATAGCGAAGTGGAACATTTTAGTGGCGTTTGCTAAAGGTATCAAAGCCTTTCAAACACTGAGGAACTTTTTGCTTTCGCTTACTCCAAGGTATGAAAAGCAGTTTGTTACAAATGTAGAAAATTTTCTGTTTTGCATTGAGATAATATGTTTATTCATCTTTCTTTTGCATCTATAACATTATGCAAAACGTGCATAATTTCTGAAGTAAAATTTTTAATAGTCATTGGAAATTCAATTATTTCATGTCCCATTACTACTTGACAACACTTCATTTATGAGTAAGTATGAAATTTTGTGGAACCAAATTATATTATTTAGAATAAACATAAAAAAATTTCTTTATATAACCAATTGCTTTTTGTTTTCCTTTACTGCTTAATTGCGTAAAAAGAAGAAAGTCATTTTTCTTATCGAAGCAGAATTTAGTAGAACCAAATTATTTGTTACAGAATACCATATTACCCAGTGTACAAGTCGACCTTCTATTTCTAATTATGAAATAGCAATTTTTTTGTATGTTGGGTGTATAAGTGGCCTGCTGGGAAAAAATATATGTATAAAAATTTCTTAAAATTTAAAAAAAATTAAGTATTCGAAATGTTTTCAAGTTAAAAATATTTCAAATTGTTCTCTCTTGACATAATGCATTTGCCATAAAGATGCATTAACAAATACTGTGAGGCGTATTGAGCCTGACATTGATGATGTTTTTAGAATCTTTAAATTTGTATTTTTTCATAAGTAATAAAGAGATTGAGATTTGGTTGGAGACTCAAGTACTATTTGGAAACCTCTTCAAAATAAGTGTTTTTCTTGTTTATTTTCCCAATTATTTGGATTCTAATTGTTTTAATGTTTTTTTTTCAGCATCATTAATTTGACTAAGTGTTGTACCAAAAAAAAATGAGCATAAATAAATAAATACAAATTACCAGCTCTTTCAAAGGTGTACCTCTAAATATATTTTTTACTTAAAAAT